TATACTATTATGATTTCAATAAAAATGAGGTCTGTTTCCCTGACACTACAAACAACTATAACACCAACGCTGAATATACACTGAATATACACTGAATATACACACTTATATAAATCACAATAAACTGAAATCATGCCTTGAAAAAGAAAATTGGAATGATATTCTCAACCTAAATCAACCAGAACTTGCCTACACATTGTTCAGTGATAAAATCACTGAATATATCATATCTAAAAATGTCATAACTAATAAACGAAACTACAAAAAAAATTGAAACCCTAGATAACTGTGGGGCTTTTGAACTCCATTAGATACAGGGATCACCTTAAACAAAGATTGAATAAAAAATACTCAGAAGAATTACAAACTGAATATAAGGCATACAGAAACTACCTCAATAATCTCATCAAAACTCAAACAAATGATTATTATATAAATAAAATTCACGATGCTCAAAAAAATTATAGGAAAATTTGGCAGAATATAAATGAAATGACTAACAGCAACTCGAAATGTCAAGACAAATATAACATTATGGATGATAATGGGCAACAAATCTTCGATGATAAAAACAAATCAAATTACTTAATAATAATAATAATGTCTTCATTTCCAATGAAAAATAAAATGCATGATATTCATCTTGTTACACAAAAATCCCAAGGGGGAGTTCACCTGAGGGTGCATATTATTACTTGAAAACTAACCTAACTAATCCTAAAACCTAAATTTTTATTTCACAATTTTTTGGCATTTGACATTTGACATTTGTCATTTGTTGGGTCACCTAAATATTCACCACCAATAACCAAGTGGAAAAAAAAAGAAAGTTGTATGAGAGATAACGAAAAATGACTACTTGTGAAACACAGATTATAGAGAAAAAAGGATTATACGAAACGGAACTGCATCAGAATGTGTTAACTTGCAGGAAACTTTTGAGCTCTTTTTTGAATTTATATAAATTACTATGAAATAAATTATATAAATTATAAAGATGAAAAATCGAATACGAAAAACTTCTCAGGAAAATTGCGGTCTTGTGTTGTGGACATGTGATTACATTTTTGTTTCTCAAATTTGTGTTGTGTACGTCTGTCCTGAATGTTATTTTACGATATAAATAAGGCGGATTTCTGTATAATATAATTTTATGAAATAAACATAATGAATGAAATTTGAACCTATCTTTCATGTTAAACCAGTTCAGTTCCGCAAGCGTGTGGGACACATGTTCATACTTCCCAATTCCATATATATAACGAATACAAGAGTTTTGAACACGTTGTACTCTGGACCAGGTATTGTAGTCAAGACAAGGTCCATAGACCGGAAAACAATAATTGAATTGTGCCAAAACTAGAGACTCGCATAACATTTTCTTTATAGGTACATTGAGGTATATTTTGTGAGGATATAGTAATCGTTGTGCACCATAGGCTCTCTGAATATTTCGATTGATATGTTCTCTAAATCTTAAAGACTCATCTAAAATTAAACCAAGATTTTTTGCATTACTTTCAAATCTAATTACTTCATTATTCAGATACAGTTTCAAGTTATTTTTAACTGATGCTACATGAGCATTGCTTCCAAATACTAGTGCTACTGATTTTTTTGTATTGAGCACAAGGGAATGCAGTTCGGCAACATTTGATATGGTTTCTAAGTCATTGTTCAACTTTCTAGCAGCGTTGTTCAAGTCATCAACTTCAAGAGGGAGGTATAGTTGTATGTCATCAGCATACATGTGTATTTTACAATGTTCAACATGTTTATGAAATTGGCTAGTATGAAGTGTGAAAAAAAGTGGTCCCAGAACTGAGCCCTGAGGTACTCCCAAGATGACATTTCTAGCTGCAGATAATTGATTTCCCAATTTGACGCTTTGTCTACGATTGTTGAGATATGATTGACAAAGCTGCAGTGATTCCGTACAGACTCCACTTGTTTTCAAGATCTTTAGTAAGGTATCATGCCTAACCGTATCGAACGCTTTACTAAAGTCAAGCATTACCAATACCGTACAATTATTTTTATCAAGTGATCCAATAATATCATCAGTTACTTGCAGAAGAGCCGTCGTGCAACTATGTCCCTTTTGGAACCCCGACTGAATAGAGGGTAAGATTTTATTTTCATTGAGATGTTCAGATAGTTGACTGGCTAAAATTTTCTCAAACAATTTAGATAAGCCCGTCAAGATGTTTATAGGCCTAAGGTCAGAAAACTGTGAGGGATTTTCGTTTTTCGGAATAGGGGTAACAATAGCAAATTTCCAAGTAGAGGGATATTTAGATGACAGTATTATACTATTAAAGATATGTACCAAGAAAGGCAAGATGTAGGGATAACAAATTTTTATGAGAGCTATACTTAAGTTGTCAGAGCCAGCAGAGCTGTTTTTTATTCGTATAAGGAATTTGAGCACTGTAGCTTCATCTATAAGTTGGAAACTGAATTCTTTTTCACATAAGACAATATTATCGTAAAAAGTATTTATGGAAGTAGTAGCTGAGTTCTTAGGTATGTTATCTATAAAGAAATTATTTATTGCATTTGCAACAATTTTTTTGCAAATATTGGGCAACAAATGGCAGAAAAAATTGATATACACTTTACCAGAAAGAGATTCTAATATTTCAGACTCTATTTTCCTGAATCCAGTTACAGAAAACGAGGTTGTGAAAAGTATATCCACTCTGAAAAACAGCAGCTCAGTGGCCCTGATGGTATATCAGTTCAATTTATTAAAAAATATAATCGCTTTTTTCTGACTCCATTGTGCCATATTATTAACCTATGTTTCATACAAGGATATGTACCTATTGCTTTTAAACACTCTTTTACCATCCCAATATTTAAATCTGGCATCAAGAAATTTGCCACAAATTATAGGCCAATAACTATCACAAACAATTTCGCTCAAGTTTTCGAAAAATGCTTGAAAAATAGACTTGTTCATTACCTAGACAAGAATAATCTCTTAAATGAATGCCAGTTTGGATTCAGAGAACATATGTCAATTGGTTCAATTGGTTCATAGTATATGGAATAATTTCAATATTGGCAAAAAGTGCCTAACAGTCTTTTTAGCTTTGGCGAAAGCCTTTGACATTGTCAATTATCATATTTTACTGAGGCGAGAATTCATTGGAGTAAGAGGAATCACCCTTAAGTTTTTTGCAAATTACTTATCTGGCAAATTTTCAAAATCAACAATATTTATAGTGATCCACTACCTATAACCATGGGCGTCTCACAGAGGACAGTACAACACCCAATTTTGTTCTTAATATACATCAATGACATTTACAAACTTGAAAACATCCAAGGCAGCATTAAATCTCATGCAGACGATACAGCTCTGTCATTTCTAGGCGATACGTGGGACGACGTCTTTGAAAGAGCTGAAAGGGGACTCACATCTGGTTTCTCTTGGTTAAACACAAGTCTTTCGAGCGTGAACATCGCTAAAACTGAGTAACATTTACCCCCACAAATGAAATAAACCTTCCAAAAATAAGCTCACTATACACAAACCTATTTGCCAAATCCCAATGATATGCACATGTCCTACAATTGATAAGGTAAGCAACATGAAATATCTTGGTGTATATGTAGACTAACATCTACGATGGGACGAACATGTAGACTAGACCGTTAAAAGACTCAGTAAATTATCTTATAAATTCTACCAACTCAGAAATCTCAATAATAAAAAGCTACTAACAATGTTATATCTCACTCACAGAATCAGTTCTGAGATATTGCATTATAATATGGAGTGGCGTCAGCAAAAGCCTGTTACTTAATCTAGAGGTGATGCAAAATACTATCTTGAAAATCATTTTCAATCGTAATAAAAAATACTCCACTGTAGCACTATATGAAGAATCAGACTCATTTGATGCGATAAAATTATACACTTATCACTGCATATTATGGATACATAATAACCCCCAATATAAATCAGAATTATGAAACCCGAGCTAAACTTCATAAAAAAACGAATGTCCCTCGTTGTAGATTAATTTGCACTAATAAACCTAGTTCCTTCAGGCATTAGAGCATTCTCCAATAAATACAAATTCAAGTCAAAGCTGAAAGAACATGTGAATCAAAACTATGATACACTGAAATCTGTCTATGAACTGGATTCATAATTGAAGTTCTCTCTAGGCTATGAATATAAACTACATGTTATTGTGGGTAATATCTTGAATTAGTAGAACAATCCAACGTCACCTCCTCTTCGAATATTACTCCCTCTTTCCACCAGTTTTCCTTCCTTCCAACTATTTGTATCAGTTGTATCTACATTGTCAGTGTGAGTGTTTGCTCCATCATGCAACAATGATAACTCATTTATATGTATGTGTTTATGTATGTTTATGTGTATATAGATGTGTATGTATGCATATATATACATGTGTATATGCATGTAAATGTGTGTATATATATAATCAACGTTTGAGTTGTTTATAGGTTGATACTACAATTGAAGCTCTGCTTAGGTAGGTCAGCCGTCAAAATTGTTTATTTTGCATTCATTCTTATACCATCATCAAAATATGTAATTACCTGAATACATTCATCTTATCTTATCTTATGTTGACAACATGTTGAAAATAACATTCAGTTCTTTGTATAATGCTCACCAGTCGCAGGTAGTATTCGAATTTACCACAATTACTATTATATACCCAGAAAAACATTAAGGAATATTTTTCTATATTCCGCAATAATCTTGAGATATTTAAAAACATTTCGTTTTCCTACCTTGCTCCTGAAGTATTGAGCTAACGAAAAAAAATATCACGAACTCTTTATACCACGTGGGAGTCGAACATATTTTGTCGCAATGTATTTTTTTGAACTGGAATCGTTCTGGAGATCATGACTTGATTTATATTTCGAAAGTTTTCGTCACTAGTACTGATCTATACAAATTATGAAAAAATCGTTGGTTTTTTCAATATAATTTTCTTTGGTTTCAGGGTTTTGTGGCTTTCAGCTCTCAAGGTGATCGAATAGCATTAACCCAGATTGAACAAGTTATTAACGGAAGTTACGCCGTGCTGGGATATTACGACACACAGGCTGATAATCTCACATGGTTCGATAGGGAAGTGTGGAGCGGTGAGTTTTAAAGTCATTACATTTTTATTCTCAAGGGTGATTCTGATAATTGCATCATCAGTCCAATCATTAAAGGTGAAATATAGAGATACTGTACAGGGTGAGTCAGCGGGATTTCCTCAGTCCATTGCTATCAGTCATATCGATGAATACTATCCTCTTAAATTTTTTTCTCGCTTAATGGGTGACTCGCGTTGCCAACCAAAGTTTTATTTTTTCAAATGGAACACCCAATATATGAATACGTCATTCGATTCCCTTATTTTTTATGTCTCTAAAAAATTTTTGTTTTCGAATTTCCATTGCGGTATTGCCAAGTTTTTCCAGAAAACTTATTTTGCAGACAATAATTTTTTAATTCACCACCCGCATGTCTACAGCAATTATATGGAATAGTTAGTCAACATCACTATATCAATTTCTGTAATCTCAACTCTCGGAAACAATATATATAGTGTACTCGGTAAAACCGGTCAGGTTTCATTAATTTTCAAACAGACATAAATCAACTTTTTCAAATAGAAAACCCTGTATTTTTCATTCGTATAAAATTGTTACGAAATTTCACTACATTCATTATCGGAGGTATACTATACGTTTACTTACGTTCACTTTCACAAATTTTTTCAATGAGAGCAATAACACCTCTAGTGATTATTTTGGCTGATCTTTATCTAATACCTGAAACGAACCTTTTCAATGAAATTTTCAACTCCAAAGTTTTTTATGTGTCTCGGTACAAACTCTTCCGTCGTGATCGGAAAAGTGTCTCTTGTTCTGATGAAAAAAAAAACAGGAGGGGGTGTCCTAATAGGTGTTCGGAAACAAATCGAAGATGTGCTTCGAGAGCAATTCCAAAGTGAAGCAGAAGATTTATGGATCACCATCTACAACGACAACAGTTTCAAGGTACATATTTGCTTTGTTTATTTACCACCCAGGAATGACTACGCAAGAACGTGTTCCAGTTCAAAACTTCAACAAAATCTTGATGAACTTACAGGTGATCCGATACTTATATTTGGATACTAACTTTCCATATATTAAATGGGTTCCCACTGAATGTAACACTGTTTTTGTTCCAACGAACACCGATAACACCAATTCTCCTCTGATTGACCTCTTATCATTTGGTGAATTTTCCCAAAATAATATTATGAAAAATGTAGATGATAGAATATTAGATTTACTCTTTGTTTCCAAATTCAAGTGACAAACTTAGAAACCCATAAGGGTTTATTGTGGCTCACACATATTCACACTCGGCCAAATAAACCCAGCTTCTCACCGGAGCCGATTAGTTTGTATGATGAGTGGTTTTTCAGATCAGATGATGAGAGTTACTGCACGGATCTGCCGAACTCAAAGAACCTGATCCGATCCCCAGCGGGGCAGGCACAAAGTATATGCTCTGCAGTTTCATCGACACACACTGTCTTCCAAGTCTCTGCATGTGATGATTCAAATGACAGTGACCTGTAAGAAGGCCTGTTAGACATCGTAGTTCATCCCTACTGTAGTCCAACAACTGTTTGGAACTGGTAATGTCACTCTCGTTATTGACATTACCAGTTCTTTCAAATAATAAATAGATTTGGAAAGCTGAATACACTTATTGAATGAATGCATAGAAGAGGTGTTTGTATGAAATTTTATAATTATTGATGGTATATTGGTTGGCATTGTGGTTCTGGCAAACTTCGGAATGACATCTTCTCTCAAACAATTATTTAAAAACCGTATGTCAATTTGTAACAGACTTCTTCGAATTGATAACTTCCTATAAATATCAGCTGGGGCTACCATACTGTAGATCAATAAATAGATTTGGAAAGCTGAATACAATTATTGAATGCAAAGCATAGACCATTTACACCATATATCTCTGTTATATCGTGAGTAGGACGATCTCACCGGTATCAGATTACCAAGATAACGACTTCCAAGACTTTGAGTCAGCAGAGTCAGCAGAACGTGATACTTTTGTTATTCCCTATCGTCTCCTGCTGACACCGCTGTCTACACATTATAAATGGACCCTGCGAGGTCAAATCATGGTCAGAACTAATTTAGAATTCGTTTAGTATCAACTTAGATTCTGTTCCATTTTTCAATGTAGTTTTTGTAACGATATTTTTTGTTGTTATCCAAAGAAAGTCTATAATTGAAAATAAAGTGTTTTTAAAAAGTCATATTCAAAAGAGTGAATATAACATCTCTCAATACATAATTCATAATGAAAATGATTCACTCTACACGAGAAAAAAGCGTCATTCATTTTTTGATGTCAGTCATGGATAACTGGGTTTTTAATGAAAAAAGCAATATAAATATCATTCAGGTTTTTTAACGCATTTCATACCGTCGGACCGCTGATAACTATCACCAGATGGTATGAAAACTGCTAATCTACAAGCGATTAGTTTGAATATTCGAAAAACAAATTTGAGTAGGTGAACGTAAGAAAGTACATTTTTTGTGGTCACAACAATTACTGAAAAATGAAATACAGGGTGTTCCATTTGAAAAAGTTGAATTATGTCTGTTTGAAAATGAATGAAACTTGACCGGTTTTACCAAGCACTCTATATATTGTTTCCAAAAGTTGAGATTCCAGAAATTATCATTGTGATGTTGAACAACTATCCCTAAAAAAATACACTCAATTGCTTTAGACATGCAGGTGATGAGTTAAAAAATATTGTCCGCAATATAGGTTTTTCTGGAAAAAATTGTCAATCCCACAATGGAAATTTTAAAAATTCCTTAGAGAGCAAAAAATATGTGAAATCGAATAACGTATTCATATACTGGGTGTTCTGTTTGAAAAAATCTACCTTTGGTTAGCCACGCTCGGCTGAATTACCTAGTATGCGAGAAAATAATTTTGAAAGATGGTATTTATCAATGTGACTGCAAAAAAAATTGGGCAGCTCGAAAAATTAATTCCTCTGATAACAATGGACCAAGGGAGTCTTGTTGACTCACCCTGTATAATTTTAGGTGACAGCACTGATTTGCAGAAAATGTTAATTTACATGTCACATACATTCTACTTCGAAGTTGATCCTGTAACAGGGAAAAATCAGAAAATAAAACCAAATGAGAATACACAAATAATAATCACGGCATCTTCTTGAAACATATCCACTGTAGTTTCCAGAAAACTACGAAAACGTGTATTGAGTGGAAATTTTCGGATTACACTCGAATCTGGGAATGTTATGACGAACCTCCACATTCTCACCTCAGACTTTGTATTGACACCGAAAATATATATTTATTTGAATTGAAGGGGATATATTTTTAGGAGTGATTAATTTTTTGGGAAAGAAAGTTTTTGGCTTTCTACTACTCCATCTGATACAAAAAAAAAAGGGATGAGAGAATCTTCCAAAGAAAGGAAGGAAGTAATCAATTTGAAACTCTATACATGAATGTGTAGATCATGCAAAGAAGTAACTTTCAGACACAAACTGAAAGAAAGTCCTCCTGAAACAGCTACTTTCATATAAACATTGAATTACACGAAAGAAAATGATTCTTTCGAAACAAATACTTCTATATGAACACTGAATTATACAGAAGATACTTTTCTCTACTCAGTTTGTATTTCAAACATTTGTTGTGGAATAAAAATCAGATATCATTCACATGAGTTCTACTTTGTATGAATGGTAATGAATTGTACTCACATAGAACACTGTCACCCTCACTGGTATACACCGATGTTTCGCCTCAAGACACTTGCCCTAAGGCTCTTCAGTACCAAATTGGTACTGAAGTACACATTAGTACAATATCTCTGATTTCCTAAATGGGTTATCTTTTCCAGTACCAAAATAAATTGTCCGTAATTCATTCCCATTTTTTTAATGAGGGGGTCCTTGAAAATGTGCTAGATTTTCTAGGGGTTTGTGGACTAAAACAAATCAAGAAATGCCCCATACAACACTAATCTTTGGAAGATTCTCTCATCCCTTTTTTTTGTATCAGATGGAGTAGTAGAAAGCCAAAAACTTTCTTTCCCAAAAAAAATTATATTTATTCTTGTTGAATATTGGAAAAAAATGTTGCAGTGAGGATTAACGAAATTTGTACAGCGGGACACAGTAAAGTGTTCATAAATCCCTGTAACCAACTGATTGTAGGCCTTTCAAAAATCAGATATGGTTCCGAGTTCGATATTTTTATTTTCCAATCATGTTAGGAACCGGAACCATAAACACTCTTTTAGTATCCCACTCTATACCAGTGTTTCTTGATCAGTCGGAATCCTGAGGGTCTGCGAGTATGTGTATAGGGGTCTGCCGTCTTATCTATAGACATTCAAATGAATGAATAAATGTCATCATGTCTTATAATCTCTGGCCGATATCTTCAGTGCCTTCAACGAGCTGAAATCATGTCTACAAAGGTAACATTGGAAGATAAAATTGGAACTATTTAAAAAAATCTTGACTTCTGGACTTAACGTTCAATTGAAAATAAACTATAATCACTTTTCTACACTGCACTGATTTCTCTAGTGGAGAGAAATGTTGCAAATGAAAAAAAACGATGATATGATTGAACATCTTCACGATTTGATGACTTCTTTTCGGAATTGATATCTGGAACCCGACAGAATTGAAAACTGTATAGTAGACCCTTTCAACATCAATATCAGATATCATCGATTTAACAAAGGTACAGGAAAATATATTGATAGAATTTTGTCATGTGATTCAGCTTTGAAAAGTAATTTCAGATAATCTCCTTATCAAGTTCTGGGTAAACTCAAAAAAGTTCATTGAGAAATATCAGAGAAAGTACTGAAGCAGTTACTGCTTTTTTCATCCACATATATCTGTGGGTGGAACTAAGTTATAACATCAAACACAATATTATTTAGTTTCGAAAAGCAGCGCCAACCTTCACATTAGTACAATATCTTTGATTTCCATGAATGGGTTATCTTTTCCAGTACCAAAATAAATTGTCCGTAATTCATTTCCATT